CTCTCCATGAGATGGAAGTCTTAGAGTGGCTATAAGATAGTGCCTTTGAAGGCCCTTATCTGTTCTCTGTGTATTAAATCAGTCTGAACTAGCTCTTGAAAATGAACCGTAATATAATAGTAAATAATTTAGTTCTAGCGAAGCTGTGAGAGGCACTGTTCCTGTCACTATTCCTGTGTATACAGTTTAAAGCACCCAGAATCATATAGCTAACAAGGGGGGGTGCTGGACATTGAGCCTGGCACCTAACCTCTTAACACTATGGTATATTGCCTCATAGTACTGAATGAAGCTCTTGAGTAGATATTTATGATTTTAATCTTTATGCCTCCAAAGCTTATGGTCTAGAGAAAGGGAATAAATTTTAGAACAAGTTAGTATAGTGTTAGAAATATCATTATTCCCCTTTTCTGTAATGAAGACTCCTAAAGCTTTCTAATTCCAGCCCTTTTCTTAGGAGTTACTTCATGTGGTCACCTGCTAGCCAGACGTGGAAGCTGCATGTCTCTCCAGTGCCCTAAACACAACAGGTCTCAAGTCTGCGTCCTGACCTCCCTTACTCAGTGGCTCTTTCCAACCTTCCTCCTGACATTCCAGTTTTGAAATGACCTCACTACTCTCAATCACTCAGTGTCCTGTGATCTTTTCTTCTCTTAACATCGTGGTAGTTATCAAGGCCTATTAATTCTGTGTGACCTTTTTTTTTTTCCCTTCCATCATCTCTCCTTGGTCCCTCTCTGCCTGCAGCAGGCCGGCCTGCATCTCTGCTTGCCAAGCTGGTTTATGGCAGGTCTTCTAATCACTCACCATCCTACTATGCTGTCCAAGCAGCCTGCCTTCCTGGCCTTACCTCCTCACGTGCTGTGTGTGTGCTAGGAAGCTGGACTGCTAGCAGTTTTTTTCTGTTCTTAAATTAAGATCGGTAATTAGAGTTTTGACTATGCTTGAGTTTTTTTAAAATACAATTTTATTTAACTTTCTAAAATTTAATTTTGTTAACTCTGAAGACTTTGAAATGTACAGCATGGGGAGCTGGAGAGATCGCTCAGTGGTTAAGAACACTGGTTGTTCTTGCAGAAGACCTGGGTTTGAATTCCAGCACCCACATGGCAGCT